TTCCCTATTGGAAATCCTTTTATTTCCTTCTCTTGTCTGATCACATTGGCTAGGACTTCCAGTACTATATTGAATAGGAGCAGAGAAAGTGGGCAGCCTTGTCTTGTACCAGTTTTTAGTGGAAAAGCTTTCAGCTTTTCCTCATTCCGTATAATGTTAGCTATAGGTTTGTCGTAGATGACTTTTGAGAATACTGAGATTTAAAGGACTAGACATCACATTGCAAGCCTAGAATGGATAAGAACGAATTTCCAGGAAAAAGAAATCGTAGTTAGACTATTATAGTTTAAGAAGTGAGAGAAGTGGAGAGGAAGTTGACTATGATTGAATACAAATGGAGGTTTTTGAATTAAGGAGCCAGGGAACTATAGGGCTAAGATAAATCATCCATACAGACATTGTGACAGGATGTGAGACATATACTGTAAGCCAAATGAATGTCAGGAGGCAACCATGAGGTCAGTTTTTTTCATCTTTTTAAATTATTTTATTGAACTTTATTTATTTATTTTATTTTAACCAGAGAGGGACAGAGTGAGAGGGAGAGGGAGGGCAAGTGAGAAAGCAGTCTACCAGGTCCTAGACTCAAACCACAGTGGGCAACGTGGGAATCCAGCTCCCTTAATCACCACACCACCTGCTGGCCCTGAGGCCAGTTTTTTCTACTGAATATTTTATCTACTGATTATTTTTTCCAAAGTAATAAATTTATTACATTTTTTTTTGTTTTTTAGTACAAAGTGGTTGTCCCCAAAATTGGAAACATACTAGACCTTTGTACAGCATTGTCTGCTTTATCAGGAGTACCTGCAGATAAGGTAAGATGTTTTGGGGGTCAGTGTATCTAAGTTGGTGTTTATTAATATTGAAAAAACAGAAAATTAATAGAGTTGTATTTCTTTTTAGATGATAGTTACTGATATATACAATCATAGATTTCACAGAATATTTGCTATGGATGAAAACCTTAGTAGTATTATGGAACGGGATGATATTTATGTGTAAGTATAAAATTCATTATTATTTGAGAAAAACAGGAAGAAATTATGTAAAAATTTGAGAGTTTATGGTCAATTTTGTCCTACAGGTTTGAAATCAATATCAATAGAACAGAAGACACAGAGCATGTGGTTATTCCTGTTTGCCTAAGAGAAAAATTTAGGCACTCAAGTTACACCCACCATACTGGTTCTTCACTTTTTGGTCAGCCTTTTCTTATGGCTGTACCACGAAACAATACTGAAGATAAACTTTATAATCTCCTGCTTTTGAGAATGTGGTAAGTGACAGACAGTTCGGCATTGATAAAACAAATATGGGAGTTAAATAAATTAAAATAATAAAATAGGTAATAAAAGTAAAAATATTGGGTCAGCCCCATTGCCTACTGGTTAAGAAAGCCATTTCCTACAGGGCCATACTGCAGTTCGAATCCCATTTCTGGCAACTTGAAAAAAAACACATTGGGTGCATGTGCATGTCTCCGTGCCTGCATGCCCAGAATCCCAGTAGGATGTAGAAGAAGAGATTGGGATGTGACCAAGCTCCATTGCAATATGATCACACCCTCTTTCTCTGGCTCTAATGGACACTTGCACCCTCTGGCAATTAAAAAAAAATAAAACGTAAATTATGTGTGGTGCTATCAGAGCATAAGTAGACAAACCTGTATTATGTTAATTTGTTTAGACGGTTAGCAATTTTAAAAATCAAATTATAGTTTAATCAACATTCTTGATCATGTAAAATACATTACTAAGGTCATCTCAACCCCAGAAAGCATAAAGTGTTTTAGCTGTTTTACACCAAAGCTTACAGTTAGAAAGAAATAGGAAGTTATTATTAACTGTAATACATGTGTGTGCTCTGAAATCATAGCAAATGTCAGACTCTTCATTTTTTTATGCACACTGCTAGTTCAAGATTTCATTCCTGTAGTTTTATTTAAAGGGATAAACTTTCATGATTGATAGCCCATTTTTATAACTTTCTAAAAACCTTGATTTGAATTATAGGGTTATAAAGAATACTATTTAACCCCCTTTTTAAATCCTTTAGAGCTGACATATTCAGTGTTTTCTTGCATACCTAAGTATTTTGATTTTAAAACAGATGAAGATCACATTAGCAATATTTATCATTTAAATGAAGGTCTTTTATATAATATTTTAAGTTGATAAATTGTTACAGGCTTTTAACATTAAAAAAGGATGTAAAACCTTGAAGTAATTTTTTTTTTTTATATAAAATAACCAAAACACACATTATTAGCCAGTTGCACTTTACGGTACTGTATCTTGAATTTGAATGTCTTGTTAAATTCATGAAAGGTTTGCTATTACTACGTCAATAAGTTTTGTTTTATTAAAGTTCTTACCTGTTTAGAACTGAACTTGTTTAATTTTTTGTTTTATTTAAGTCGTTATGTCAAAATATCTACTGATACTGAAGAAACTGAAGGATCCCTACACTGCTGTAAGGACCAAAATATTAATGGAAATGGCCCAAATGGCATACATGAAGAAGGCTCACCAAGTAAGACTTTCCTCTTAAATTTCACTCAGATTGAACCAACAGGTGGCATGGAGGTTGAGGCAGTTAGATTCCATATGGCCAACTCCTGGTTAGAGTCCCAGACCCGGCACCTTGAAAACCATACCAGGAATGTGTGCGTGCACCCCAGAATCCCAAGAGGAGAATGGAGGAAGAAAGAATTGCAGCGAGATCATCTCCTCCGGGGGATGATTTTTTTTCACATTCACTCTCTCTCTACCTCTCTCTTTTGAGCATATATACCCTCTAGCAAGCTATTAAAAAAAAATTGCAATTTAGATTATTGCTTCAGAGAACAAGTTAAGAAAATGAGGATTAAGGATTTTTAAAAATATTGCAAACCTGGAACAGCAGTTGGCATAATGTCTATGTTGCTGGACTCCCAGGTAGTCAACCACGGTTCAAGTCCCAGATCTGGTGGCTTAAACTCACGCCAGGTGCGTGTGCTTGCATGCCCAAGATCCTGAGAGGAGAATAGAGAAGGGATTGTGGCGTGGCCATCCCCCCAGGGGGAATTTCTCACTTTCTGTCTCTCTGTCTCTGTCTGGTGAGCGCACATGCCCTATAGCAAAAACCTCTCCATAAATATATATATATATATTGCATACCTGGAGAAAATAATATTATTATTTTTAAATGTGATATTGGTTCACTTAAAGATCTTTAATATCTAAAATCAGGTGAAATGGAAACAGATGAGCCAGATGATGAATCCAGCCAGGATCAAGAACTTCCCTCAGAGAATGAAAACAGTCAGTCTGAAGATTCAGTTGGTGGAGATAATGATTCTGAAAATGGATTATGTACTGAGGAAACTTGCAAAGGTCAACTCATGGGACACAAAAAACGATTGTTTACATTCCAGTTCAACAACTTAGGCAATACTGATATCAACTACATCAAAGATGATACCAGGCATATAAGATTTGATGATAGGCAGCTTAGGCTAGATGGTGAGTATTTGTAAAAATGTCTTGAACACTGAACCTGAACAAGCCATGCTGTTGTTCTAGGTGAAAAGCATAAAATTCAGCCCAGTTATGAAAAATGCCATTTACTTATCTATCTTATTTCAGTGACTCAGAAATAGCTTTTTGCCCTAATCACCTAGTACAACTAGAAAATGTTATTTTGTTTATTTTTGTATTTATCCTAACATTAAAACATTCATTTTAACATGAACACCTGTTAAATTTTAAAGAAAAAATATGTTTTTTACCTTAGAAAGATCTTTTCTTGCTTTGGATTGGGATCCTGATTTGAAAAAACGATATTTTGATGAAAATGCTGCTGAGGTAAGTTATCACTCATTCTTCCTTTACCTTTCCTTTATTAACATTATTTTAATTACCAGAGCTACTGATACTGTTTTGTTATAGTCTACTAAATATGTTTATTTTGCCCCCCCACACACAAAAAAAAATGGTCATGAACTATAAGAGAAAGACTGCAAAAAGGCTCCCCCTCCCTTTTTCAAAGTAAAGAGTTAGTTTTTAATATGCTTTTGGTTTACATGTTTTAGTCAGCTATATAGGCATACACCAGAGTTATTTACAAGTGTGGTATAAATCTCAGCTAAAATAAGCTTTATGATTTTTTTTTTAAGTAAGCTTAGGGGGTTTTCATTATTATTCATAGCAAGATGGTATCACTAAAATGCATTTTGTTTCATTTGTTCTCTTAACTCAAGAAATACTTCTCTTTAGGATTTTGAAAAACATGAAAGTGTGGAATATAAACCTCCTAAAAAACCCTTTGTGAAATTAAAAGATTGCATTGAGCTTTTTACAACAAAAGAAAAGCTAGGTGCTGAAGATCCCTGGTAAGAGACAAAGTTAAATAATGTTTCTAATTATTTTCTTTAAGGATCTGTTATCAGATATGTGCTATATCCAGTTGGAAAAGTGGTTATAAATTTTTCTGTCTATAGTAAGTTATAGTCTTGAGAAGAATGGAAACTTCTTTAGTACTATTCTTAGTGTGTTTTACAATATTTTACTATTAATAATGAAATGTACTTTTTCCAAAAAATTACTAACTTGGCAACCCATTTGGAAACAAGTTTCTTAGGAAAGTTATGGCTTCCTAGTGTTACTGTATTACAGCCCAAAAGTTTTGAGGTCTTCTAATACCTGTATTTGATGTAGCATAGGTTTGTTGTACATCAAGTCCTTTCAGCTACTAAACAGTACATAATCTAGCCCTCATAATTTCTTTGAATCTTTACTTGCATATTAATTTATAATGGACCAGAAAAATGTGTCAAGCCTGTTTTTATAGTGTATTGCAAATAATAAGAAAGCTACCTTCAGCCTAGTACGTATTAGGCATATAGTAATTACTCATTGAGTAAATATAAAACTTACCAGGCTAGCAGTGGCCTGGTGGTTGAGGCAACTATATGGTTCAAGTCACAAGCCTGACAGCTTGAAAAAACACTGGGTATGTGTGCCCAAAATCTTGAAAGGAGAAATAGAGAAAGGATTGCAGTGTGACCATCCCACATGGTGGGCTACTTTCTCACTTTCCCTTTCTCTTTCTGTCTGTCTGTCTCTCTCGCTTTCTCTTGTCTCTCCAGTGAGCATGCACACCCTCTAGGAAAAATTTTTTAAAAAACATGTAAAACTCCAAACTTTTTTTAATTGTCTATTGTTTTCATTAATGAGAGTTGTTTGTTTAAGCTTTAAATAGTTATTTTTATTGTTAGGTATTGTCCAAATTGTAAAGAACATCAACAAGCCACAAAGAAATTAGACCTGTGGTCCCTGCCTCCAGTACTTGTGGTGCATCTCAAGAGATTTTCTTACAGTCGCTACATGAGAGACAAGTTGGATACCTTAGTAGATTTTCCTATCAAGTAAGTTTTAATTGTACTTCATAAATAATGGGCAATTCTAACTTTTAATGAACTTACATGATTTTTTTTATTATAGCCATTAGCAGATGTTAGGTACCATTGGGCCTAACTTCAGTTTTTTAGTTTATTTTTGAGTAGTTATGACAGTTAGTAAGAATTGATATTTAAGAATTTTTACTTTTTCATAGAAGTTTTTTTTTTTCATAGAAGTTTTCTAAGACCAAAGAGAAAACACAATTCTTTAAAAAATATAATAAAATTCAGTCTGTGTTGCACTTAATGGGTTCATTGGTTCTATTTCTAAATCCTACCATACTTTGTGATTTTGTTTTCTCAAGAATTATTCCAACCTTTTTTTCAATTGTTTTTAAATACAATTTTTTTTAAATACTAATATAATATGGAAAAAACAGTAGCAAAAGAAGTCATCACTGTCCTCATCCTTCAGTTTTCGTATTGCATTTTATGATGTCATATTTGTATAAAGGTATAAAATCTAAAGACAGTATATTTGTAGTTTCTTTTTTTTTTTTTTCCTTTTTTAGCTTTCACTAAATAAAGTTGAGAATTCAAAAGGATAAAAAGGG